AGGAGAGAGAGGCAGCTCCTAAAGCAGCGTGGACTCAGCTTCCCACATGGAACTGAAACACTAGGCTTGCTCTGCCTCTTTAACTGAAGCCACCAAAATGATCTTTTGCCTGTAGCACTCTCAACTGAATGTGTGTGCGACCAGTTTAAAGCAGCAGTGCGTAACTTCACTTTGGCATTGCAGGTTGGTGCCCAGTGTGAATTGTGAAGAGGGAAGCTGTAGAGGTGTTTCCATGGGTAGCCGACTGCATGCTAGTCTCTGTTGTTATCCTGCCTCACGGTTGTCTGAATCTGATGTCCAGGCATCTCCTTTCTGTTGCTCCTCCTGCAGGCTGGAAGAGGTGAAGGGGATGGCTGACCGGATCATTGACATGCGCAACCAGCTGGTGGCCAACCTCAAGAAAGAAGGCTCCTCCCACAACTGGCAACACATCACCGACCAGATCGGCATGTTCTGTTACACGGGGCTGAAACCTGAGCAGGTGAGTGCGATTCTCCCCAATCTGCCTGGAAAACAATTCCCCTGGACTGGGGGGAACAGGAAGCACATGGATATCCATGGCAGCGTCCATCAGGCTGGGCTCATGGAACACATGCTGTTCTTGGGAAGGTGGGGAGCTGATGACGAAATAATCTCCCACTTTAGCATTGGCTTTTTCTTTCCAAATATGTCTGAGGTCAGTGTTAAATTAAACTGATGAGATGTACCTGACTCCTTGGGGGAATCCCAGTGGGACCTAAGCAGGTTGCCCTAAGGCAGTTCGCAGGAGAAATTCCAGTCCTGTTGGATTGCTTTGTGTGCGTGAGACTCCTGCTGGCTCCATGCTGGTCTGCTCAGTGCATTGTCTTGAAGGAGCAGCTTGTTCTCTCATTGAAAAAGAAAATGGTCCCTTCTGGGTTGCTAGTGGCTGCACTAGGGAAAACATAGAATTATCATAGAATGGTAGGACTGGAAGGGACCTCGAGAGGTCATCTAGTCCAGTCCACTGCACTCAAGGAAGGACTGAGTTTTATCTAGACCATCCCTGACAGGTGTTTGTCTAACCTGCTCTAAAAAATCTCCAATGATGGAGATTCCACAACCTCCCTGGGCAATTTATTCCAGTGCTTAACCACCCTGACAGGAAGTTTTTCCTAATGTCCAACCTAAACCACCCTTGCTGCAGTTTAAGCCCATGTCACTCATGGCTGTATTTCCAAATGGGAAGTCACGAATATGAAGCCAGTTAAGACACTGGTGGAGCTGAGGAACTTCATTCCTTACAAAAAAGCTTCCTCCTCCCTTGTGCAGACATAGAGAATCTTGTGTGCACTCAACATCAGTCTTAGCCTCCTAGCTATCTAGGATACCCCCTTTTGCAACTATCGTCTATCCCTTCAGACTAGCCTACTGTCATAAAGGTACCATGATGAGCCACCTGTTCCAGTAACACGAGATTTCACATGAGATGCAGAGGTTTGAGGCAAAACCATAGAAACCTAGAAATGTATGGCTGGAAGGGACCTCAAAGTCATCAAGTCCAACCCCCCTGTGCTGTGGCAGGGCCTAGTAAACAGAGGCCATCCCTAAGCTCAGTAAGCTCCCTCTTGCCATGTTCTCAGAGCAGGGCTCTGTTGTCTAATGCGACTATCTAAAAAACAGCTACAGCGGGGGTTCTCAAACCGGGGGTCGGGACCCTTTAGAGGGTCATGAGGTTATTACATGGGGGGGTTGCGAGCTGTCAGCCTCCACCCCAAACCCCGCTTTGCCTTCAGCATTTATAATGGTGTTAAATATATAAAAAAGTGTTTTTAATTTATAAGGGGGGTTGCACTCAGAGGCTGCTATGTGAAAGGGGTCACCAGTACAAAAGTTTTTGAGAACTGCTGAACTACAATGATTAAAAATGAAAGTGAAACGAAGTCACTGCTGGAATCTAAACATGTAGATGTAAAGGTGCCCACAGAGTAGGCGAGCACATCGGTCCAGAATGCTAGACTATTGATAACTTAAATAGTTTACAAACATGGTTTTCAATTGAGCTGCCTGCCAGATCCTGAGTTCAGGGTTCAGCTTCCTGTTAGAAATTTGGAAAACGCTCTCAATCCTGCTGATGAGGGGCAAAGGATGTGTGAGTGAGTATCTTGGACTTATACCAATATAGGTCTGTAGTGCAGACCAGACCTAACTACATCACTCAGGGTGTGAAAAATCCATGCTGCTGAGCGACGTAGTTATACCTAGAGCCCTGCAACTCTGGATATCTGCGGACCATGTTTGCAGATCAGTTGCAGGTACAAATTTTGTAGCTGCTCAGGGCTCTAGTTATACCAGCCTAACCCCCTGTGCAGACAGCTTCTCCCTCTGACCCAGCTACTGCCTCTCAAGGAGGTGGATTAACTACGCTGACAGGAGAGCGTTCTCCCATCAGCATAGAGTGTCGTCTTTAAAGCACTCCAGCAGCACAGCTGTACCAGTGCAGCATTTTAAGTGTAGACGTGCCCTTAAAGACTGGCAGATCAGTCAGGAGACGCTAACTTTTCAGGCACTGTTAGCCTATTAACATCTCTCAAACTCCTTGCTGTCTCTAGATCTTCAATGTTCATTTTTAAGAGTCTTTGCCATTTTCTTTGGCATACGGAAACCTTGGATGGGCTAAAACATATCTTACTGACATGAGAGGTCCTCATGAAAAGAGGACTGTCCTTCTTCCCTGTTCTTCCCCAAAGTCTCTATTCTCTAGTCAAAATGTTCTAGTGCTTGCATGACACCCTTCAGTGGTAGTGATTAAAAGCTAAACTAGCTCTCTCAGCCAGGGCTTTGGAGCGGAGCCCAGAGCTGGAGTGCGGAGCAGCTCTGGAGCAGTGGAGCTGTAGGTTTTGCCTGGAGCTGGAGCAGGGCTTTGGAGCTGTGCTCTGGCTCCCCTCTCAGCTGTAAAATGGAACAATCGTGTTGCTCTTTAAAAGATGGCATTCAAGTGCTGCTGAAGTCATGTGACTGTCTTGGCTGAGCATTTTAGTGCTTTTATGTGCCACAGTGCTAGTGAGTGGGCTTCAGGGCTGGCCAAAGAGCAGTCTGCAGGCCAAGTGCAGCTCTGAGATCTGCGATATGAGATGGGGAAGCCACCTTCTCTCATATAAACTACAATTCCCAGCATGCACTGCTGAGTCTCTACCTATCTACTGCTAGAATCAGGATGGAGCACTGCATGCTGGGATTCAGTCTCCGTGGGCTACACCTTCATTTTAGGCAAACTGGTTGTGACTTGAGGCCCTGGCAAGCTGCCAAAGCAGCCCTTCAGTCAGGTGAAGTTTGGACCCCCTGGAACTAAGAACTTTTTTGTTTTTTTTGTTTCCCCTCAGGTGGAGCAACTAACCAAAGAGTTCTCCATATACATGACAAAAGATGGCCGGATCTCCGTGGCAGGGGTCACATCTGGTAACGTGGGTTACCTAGCTCGTGCAATTCACCAAGTCAGCAAGTAAACACGGTGGAGCAGACGGCCTTCCCTTCAACGGTCTTTGGACTTTCTGAATCAAGAGGAAGGGGAAGTACATTTGGGGGGTTGGGGCAAGCAGAATATTTACTTTCAACCACAGCACTTGACTCTGTCATTTAATGTATTTCGTGTACAAGGCCGCAACTAGCGGCATCAAGACATCATAGCCAAAGCCACCTGCCCTCTCCGACAGGGATGTCACTGCTTCCTGCTCCTCTCTTCAGAAGCAGCTTCTCGCGTTATGCACCCTCTCCCCGACACAGGCACCCGTCAGGCTTTAAACGTCTTGGCAGAACTACTGCATGTAGAATGATAGAACGCTGACCAAGAGCACTGGGCGCTGAGTGGCGTCTCTGTGCCCATCTCTTACTTGGGAGGGGAGAAGGCTTCATAACAAGTTCAGTTACTGGTTTTAAATGAGCTGGAACAGGATCAAGACCCCGTCCTCCCACTCTGAAAGGAGATCAAGTAACGCATCACTGCATTCATGTCAACAGGGAAACCTGTCCTTATACACTGGTGGGGGTAGAGCAACAGCTGGAGTTGTGGGAGCCAGTACAGCTCTACTGTCTAGTTGTACAGCATGTCCGTTGCTTTACTCACGTCATTCGAGGAGGGCCACTGAAGCTGAAAACGCTGTACGTAGATGAAGGTTTTGGGAGTCTGCTCCTCATGGGCGGCGGGTGGAGCCCCAGTTCAGGGAGGCTAGTCCCTGGCTCTGCCCCTTCCGCTCCCCCCTCCGTGGCCAGAGCTCTGAGCCCCCCACCCGACCTGCTTGGAGGAGCCCCAGGCTGATGGGTGTAGTGCAGTTTGTGCCCCTACACCTGAGCCATCGCAGCTGCGCCTCCCCTCCGCAGAGTCCAAGCCGCCCTGCAGGAAAATTCAAAAGCTCTTCTCTTCTTCTCTCTTCTGGAAGGAGAACCTGAGCTTTTGATATGCGCCATGCAGGCTGTGGGGCCACTGAGGAGGCAGTATGTATTATTCAGCTTCCCAGGTTCATCAGGATTCTCCTTGGAGTTCAGGGAGATTACTAAGGAACCCAGGAAGCTGAGTAGCACATACCATCTCCTCAGCCGCCCCGGAACCTGCGTGGCGCATAATAATAAGCACAAATTTCCACCACGAAACCCGCAACCAGGGTCTGACGGCAGCAGCTGCACTAGGGGAGGTTGAGCCTCCCCTGGCCTATTATACCCACCGCCCATGCTACTCCTCCAGATTGGTAGGTGTAGGGGGAGCGAACGTGGCCTACAGGTCTTGCTTGAAAAACAGCTTTTGATCAAATGACCTAGAAAACCAGCTTGAGATCCTAAATAACTAACCCTCTGCTGTGTGGACTTGCATCACCAATGTATTTTAAGGTTGCTTCTTCCTTACCTGTCAGAATGCTACAGATGATGGCCTCTACCACCTTTACAGCAGTAGAAGCATGCAAGGAGAGAGCACTTTTCAGAGAGCACATGCATGAGGGATACTTATTACACAGTTGCAATCTAAGCCTCTGAATGCCACTTTTGGGGTTGATTTTGTCTTTAACAATTGTAGAAAGGACACAGAGGGTCTGAATTTGCTTCTGAACAAGTAAAACTGAAAAGCTTTAGGGAACTCCTGATATCAAAGCCTGTACAATTCTTTCTAATCAGGAATCTCATCTCTGTTCAGAAAAACTAGTGGTGCTCTTAGGGTGTGTAAGATAGATCAGTGCCTCTCTGGGGCTGTCATTTCTCACTTTAATCTTGTTTGGAAACATGGCTTGCTTCATTCTCTCCCTCCCATGCCTCCCCGACTGCCATTCATACAGAAGTAGAGTGATTCTTCCCAGTCTAAGATTCTGCTCTGAAAAATGGCCCACTCTTTCACCTGACCTGATCGTGGTGTGTACTCTCCTATCCCTGCTACTAGAGTGACAATCCGCCTTAGCTGTTAGGTATCTTAAATTCCTGCTATCTCTCCAGAGCTGAGAGAGCTGGCTTCAATTCCTTGTGCATCAACAGACCTAATTGGCCCTGGCTTTGAAACTTAGTTATATGTGTGTAACCTCCTGAAAGCAAGGGGGTTGTGCCCAGGCGTCAGGAGGGTATACTTAACAGAACTGTCAGCACTCATGGTCATATGCAGGAAGGAAAGATACCAGTCTGAAGGACTGCTCATTTAAAAACAAAAACAAAACCACCTCTCTCCGTGTAAACTCAGAGTTCTCTTGGCAAATGATCAATAAACATGGAACCCCATGATGTCTCTTCTTCCACAGTCACTCTTCAGAGTGGAAGTGGAATATAGGGGAGTCGCATCTTACGCGGAGGTTAGGTTCTGAAGTCTGCGCGTAAGGCGAAAATCGTGTATTGTCAAACGCTCATTGAGTGGAATGGTGGGCGGAATCACCCGCACTACAGGTACAGTATTTAAATTATTTTTCTCTTTCATTGTTTTGCCGAGCGCGTATAGTTAAAATCGTGTAAGTTAAATGCGCCTATGATGCGACTCCGCTGTACTTCAATATTTAATCCTGACTAGACTCTCCGGCATGCAACTGAACCCATATGGATCCATTCCGGCTTTCCAGTGTTTGTCGGCTGAAGCCAACGCTTAAGGCTGAGCCCCTCCCCATTTTGTCTCTTCTTCCACAGCGTATGTCATCTTATAACCAATCATCTGGGTTTCCATCATTCTCTTTCTTCCCCCCCCATCCCCCCCACCAATTTTAGAGGTAGAGGCTGCATTTTCAGCCTTGCATTCAAATCTCTTGAGCTGTGTTTAAAGCCCCTGGCTTCCCATTGATTTGAGAATGAGTTACATGGCTAAAACTCCAGTTCACTTATTTAAAAACTAACTGGAACAGTTTGAATGGAAATTGGTTGTAAGAGATCCACAGGCCTTAAAGCAAACACACCAATGAAGTGTTTCCGTAGTATCTGGCAGCATGGAGTTCTCCGTTGCTGAAGGTAGAGGCCTGAACATGAACATACATGAGGTAGACCCTCTGATCCCCATGTGTGTTCTTTTCTTCCCACTCACGCCCAGACTAAGTGGCTCAATCTCTCTTATAAACTGTCTGTGGGCATCTTTCCTATTTTAGTCCCTAGAGGGCTTTTTGCTGATTGATAGGCAGTTGTCACTTCTGTAGTTCCTTCCTACCGCGGTTCCATCCTGAGCAGCTGAGAATAGCCTAGTCTATCGTAAGCTGACACTGCTATACCAAGGAGTAAAGGAGGATTCTAGCCTGGCTCAAGTAAAGAGAAGTCGATTGCACTTTAATGGCAGTGGTGATGTACACGTCCTCCTGCATGGGAGTTACTGAAGCCACCTGCCCAAAGCCGTCGCTTTGCTCTGATTCTCAGTGTGCATCTGGTTAGGGAATGACTGTTTTGTGCTGTGGTTCTAAGCTGCTGTGTGCTTCCAGCTCTGATCTTCACCTTTCTAGGCAAGCCGTCTGCCATTGTCTAGTCATTTAGGCCTTTATGCAGCCTGTTCTCTCTGTTACAATAAAACTACAGCTAGAGTGTATCCATGTTTCTCTGAATAAGTCTGTAACACTTTCAGTGACATTTTTTTTTCTGTTAGCAAATTACAAACAGTCCATCTAGGCTCACAAGTCAAGCTGTTCTTAGGAAGCATTGTTATAAAGTCAACACTAAACAAAACTTCCTACAGCACTTGATCCAAATAGTAAAAATTGAGATTTTGGGTTTAAAAACAATTGTTCAGCACTAGAGCAGCTGAGTTTGAATGCCTCTACTTGGTGTCTCTCTAGCTTGAGCTCCTATGGGCCTGACTCGTCAAAGGGGCCGAGCACCTGCCTCTCCTATCGACATGAACTGGAGTTGAGGGCCCCTCAGCACTTCTGAAAAACCCAGCCCCCAAGGTGCCTCGAGAGCGGGACAGAGGCACCCAAAGTCCATGGCCAATTTGGAAACTGTTGATGAAAGGTCTGAAAAAGCAGCCAAGAAGGTCCAAAAACTAAGGAATCTTTAACCAGAAGACTGCTCTTAGCAGCAGCAGTGTGGGTGGAGGTGGGGAACGGACTGACCAGGGGTATTCGATCTTGGGGCTTGGCTAGGTCATGCAGGGCACAACTTACTACTAGGCACCCCTGCAATGTGCCCCTTCTGGTATGGGGCAAGTTCACTCCTCTTTCTACTACCCCCCCCCCCCCCCCCCCCCCCCCCCCCGCTAGTTGGGCTTACTGAACAAAGGGCCCTAGTTGGTCTCCACTGTCACCTAGCCCAAGCAGTGCCTCTTGATTCAACCTGATGAACAGATGTAGCTGAGATCACTCCAACTCAATCAGTGGAATGAGTGGGAGTAGGGGCTACTCTGATCCCACTTCCTCTTCCCTGAGGCAGTGAAAATGAAAGTGAGGTGGCTATTGAATGAAAGTGGGGGGGACGGGGGATCAGTAGACGCCATTACTCCAGTGTGCGTATGTGACACTGAATTGGCAGTGGGCATACCACTGACACGGCTGCATCTGACAAAGCATCCTCTGTATATCTGACTAACTCGTGTCTGACAAGGGGCAGGTGCCATAAGTCAGGGCCTCGGTGTTCTCAGAACTCATGCAAAACGGGTCCGTGTTCACTCCTGGGGGCATCTCCAGAAACACACACGTCACCTCGTCATTCAGTATCTGGGACACTAATTTTAAACCCCCCATGGATAGACTGAAGATGGGCAGCATAGCCCATCTCTGGAAGAAAAACCTAGAACGTCTGTGTTGCCTGCCCACTACTATTGTGTTATCTGGGGATTGTGCATGTGAACACAAACTCAGTGGCTCAGCAGTTAAAGTTGCCTTACAACATGCTCCAAGCATCGTAAAAGGAAAGTGTCCAGTATTCCCTGTCAACCTTACATTGCTGTTAACACTCCATGAGGCATCCATATCACCATCTACAGCACATACTGAAAAGCCATACCTACCCCATCTTCATCCAACTCACTGTCACACAAAACCTGTTAACAAGGTGTCCCCTTGTATGGGCTACGCACACGACGGGTACTAGTGTGGGGAGGAGAGCTGCCTCGGGGGGGTTCCAGTGCCCCACCCCATGCACGTGGGTACGATTGGTTGGGGAGGGGGCAGAGCTTTGACTCTATTCCCCTAATGAGCTGGCTACCATACCTGCTGCATCAGCACGGTGAGGGAAGTCCACTGTGCCTTGGAGGGAACTCACGACAAACGACTTTCAAGGGTTCTCTAGGAGCAGCATAACACACTGCCCTGTGATCAGGCCTTGTGGTAAAGCCACGAATGAGCCCTGTTTTCCGTGGAGATTGCCTCCAGCCCAGGCAAGGGCCAATTACCCAGAGACCCAAATATCCTGAAACAATGGCCAAAGGAGCGGATCTTATAATGGCGAAAACTTCAGTTAGTCTGTGATTCAGCAACACCCTCAGCCGAGTCCTCACCGTGACGCTTCACTCGCGACGTTGACACCCTGTGGGATTCTGAGTGTTGTCAGGTGCGTATGTTCTCTGTATGCTGGCCCAGCCCCATGCAGGTAGTTGACTCAGCCGACCTCGCTAGCACTCCTCAGAAAGACCACAGACTCGGTTTGGTGACCAAGGCACTTGGCCAGGTTTAGTGCCCTCGAGGCACAGTACTAGCGCCTTGGCTCCATGGTTACAGGCACACTAACATGAGTGCCAGTCAGCAGCGGGAATTTCTGCTGTCTCTTTGGCCACACAAAGGGTGAAGGCGAGTACACCAACATTTATAGACTGAGACAAACGACTTATGTTCTATCTTACATGTTCCCTGACATTGGCTTGTATCGTGCTCCAGGAGTCTCAGGCAAAACATCCTCTTACCGGGTGTTAGGTCAGGATGGCCCTGGGTAACCTTTTGGAGCGTGTTCTCACACATAACCCAGTTTCTGTCGCTTTTAGAAGTGCGTTTTAGAAAAGCTAGCAATACCTTTGCCACAGTCATATATTACAGCGGTTCTCAAAACGGGGGACTGTGCCCCCAAGGGCCGCACGGAATGTATTCTGGGGGGGGGCAGGAGAAGCCGCTCTGCCTGCAGAGCTGGGTAGCAGTATAGGTACTTGTGTGGCAAGAGCCAGGGGAGGGGCTTTAAAGGACTACAGCCACAAAGGGGGCATGAGCAAATAAGTTTGAGAACCTCTGATCTATTGGACAGTGAACTTGTAAACATCCGTTTTAATACATGGCTTAACTTTAATTCACGACCTCTGGTTCAGGCCTCAGGTCTTGCTCCCGGCTCTCTCTCTCCCCACCCTACAACAGGGATCCCTCAACTGGCACTGACATGTAGCTGCCTCTGGGGTGAGGCACAGGTACTGTTTATCCCTTGCCCAACATTGAGATGCAGCCGCCCCTGGGTGTATTTATAGAAGGATCTCTCACCCAATGCTGAGATGCGGCTGCCTCTGAGGTGGTATAGTGGGGGCTGTTTATAGATGCCAAGATTGGCAAAGAGGTGCAGCCATCTCTAGGTTGGGGCATGGGTAGGGTTATCAGGTGTCTGGTTTTGGACCAAAACGCCCGCTCGAAAAGGGACCCTGGCGGTTCTGGTCAGCACCGCTGACTGGGCCGTGAAAAGTCCAGTTGGCAGGGCTGGCAGGCTCCCTACCTGGCTCCGCGTGGGTCCCTGGAAGCTGAAACATGTCCCTCAGCTGCTAGGCAGAGGTGTGACCAGTGGGAGCTGTGGGGGCAATGGCTGC